GAGGCCAGAGTCCTGAAAAGGACTCACCCAGGTGTACGCACAGGAGCTGGGCATGGCTAACTAGAGTGCCTTCAGCAGAGGGTGGTCAAGAGAGTTAGTATCTAGAGACCATGCCCTGCACAGAGCAGTGAATAAACTGGGAATATGCACCACAGATAAGTTTTAGAGTTGGAGGAGACTGCAGAAATAACTCATACAATCTTATGATTTTACAAATAAAGGAAAAGAGACATACAAACATTTTAAATATTTTCAAGGCTTCTAAATAAAAGAGTAAGCAGATTTTTTTTTTCTGTTTTGTTGTTGTTATTGTTTGTTTTTTAGAGATTTTGGTTCAATACAGTGATGAAATTCTGTTTCTTCTCCCCTCTGGTCATCCCATGCTTCTGGGAATGCCAAATCCCACCACCAACTTTGGCCCATCCCCCAGGTATATCTCACTGAGATCTTCACAGGCATTCTGACCAGGCCACGCACTCCCCTCTCAGTATTCCTACCTAATGGCGAGGCTTTCTGTCATAGAATTATCACAGTGCCCGATGATTATGTTTCTGCACTTCTTCTCAACTAGCCTTCTAATGCCAGGGACTGTTGTATTTTCAATGCCCAGCATAGTTTTTAGTACACAGTGGATACTCACTAAATGTTTACTGAGTTGAGTTTCTGTACAGGTGAAAGGCTGACTGAATAATCATTTTCTAATATAAAATGCTAAGGTCCTCTGCATGAAATCAACTAGCAGACCACTAGTAAGTTATAGTCAGCTTCCCCCTTTTCAGCAGAAGTTTCTAGCTTGAACTAGGGCTTTTCCTAGGCTCAGCCTGGCCCCAATGTATCCTAATGTAAACTAATTTAGAGTTGGCTGTTCCATTCTTTACTCAGGTTAAGTACTCAGATAAATCTCAGATGTATTGAGAAAACTTTGTTTCCAATTATAATGACTTTTTAAGACCATAAATATGACCTATACTTTCATAAAGTTCCTTATTTAAAGTATTTTTCTTGTTGTCATTTCTAGAGCTCTCCAACATGAGAATACCTGCATCAAGGGATACCCAAGATTAACCATTGATAATAGACAGAAAAAAATCCCTCTATATAAATACACATATATTGTGCATATGTATCATTTGTACACATTTAATGAAAAATACATGAAGTCTCCTTAGACTTTCATTAGTAGGTTGATGTTGGAGTCTTACTCTGACCTCATAGCAGATGGCTTTGTGCTGTGTGTTGAGGACAGGGCTTCTCAGGAAAGGCAGGAATGGCAAAGTGTAGAGTGGTAGACTGTGTCTCATTTGTTCATTGCTGTTAGTATGGTTCAAATTATTGTTCTTTTCATGATCCTTGTTAAATGGGTTTATCTCTTATCTAGTTTAAGCTAAAATAAACTATAAAAAGACATGGCTTAACAAGATTCCTGCAGAGAAACTGCAGTGTGAAGATAATACTAATCATGAAAGCAAAAGAGAACCTTGAACTCTCCGTCAGCTGTATTATAGGGTAAAGGGAACAATGACAATCTAATCAGGTCTGTTAAGATGCCCGGGGAAAAAATAATTGGAAATTATCAGGGGACACTCTGGAATCACAACTCCTACTAAAAAAGCTAAATTTTTGCCAAAAGGACATTTGGAATCCTGAGATCACCAGCCAGTGATAGAACATGTTTACAATTTGTAAAATAATAAATGTACTTATATAGAGTTTGCAAGGCCAGAAATATTTTATTTTTATTGAGAAGGTGAATAATAAAAAAAAAGTTTGGAGGCCCTGGCCTATTTTTGCTTCCAAAAATACTTTTTATTTTTTTCTGATCATTCTAATTGTAGAGAACTTGAAAATGCAAGAAAGCATCAAGCATAAGGAAAAAAAATCACCCATGCGCTTACCAGCACAAAATAAATACTAGCATTTGGTGATGACTCTCTTCCATCATGACTAGTTCATATGAAATGTCTTTCATAGATGGAGGACAGACCTACAGGGATAGTCTTTAGAGGACACCATGCTCCACTCTGGGTTCCATTGCCTCGTATCCAAGAAGGTACATCAGGAATGCAGCCTTAATCCTGGTTTTGAACACCTGCCTAACAAATTTGGGATAAGTTGCACTTTGCATGGGAGTGTCCTCTGATCTCATTCCAGGTCATAATGTGGAAGCCATATATATTGCTGTTGTTGAGTAAAAGAAGACTAGTGAAGTAGCTCATCTGCTATTCTAATTTTTAAATTAATTGGCCCATCTTGGCCATGAGTGATATGGTTTGAGGAGTCATGCTTAGATTCCCCCAGAGATCAGGGTAGCTGACCTGCTCTGGTTTTCAGTAATCCTTAGGAATTTGGAGTATGTGCAGGAACTGCCTTCCTTTAGAAATGGAACTATAGCTCCAGGTCCTGCAACATGGATGCTGTCCTGGCTTATGTCGGCTCTGACGTGACTCATTATAGAAACCACCCTCAGTTTCACATTCTGAAGCTTCTCTAGAAGTTTGTTCTGCATCCTACAGAGAAGCAGAGCTGGTATTGAAATAATCTCATCTCCATCAAAAATAACTTCTGACAATCTGACTTGAGGAAGTTTTTCCATAGGTGTGGCAGGATTTCCACTTCTATTTAAGATCAGATGCAGCATTTTCCCCAGCTTGCTACCTCCCTCCAGAGAGGGAACAAGACAAGACCCCTCCAAAACTTGGATGTCATAGCCTACACCAGAGGATTCAGAATCAAATGACTGTTTGTATCTTGATCATTTTATCAGGTCTTCACAGTACTTCCCCACATTTGCTCTACTGCATTACAAAGTTATCCAAGTTACTGTCTCATTCCTGAGGTGGAAAGGGGAATCTTTATACCCAGCAAGATGAAGAATGCAAATTCCACAACTTAATATCAAGCTCCTCTACTGCAACATACATCTAAAATAAAATTTTCAGGTATTTGATTTATGTTCATATTTTTAAAGGATAATTTTCTGCATCTGCTTTGGATTGCATTTCAGAAGTGAACTGAATTTGGCCAGAATCACTCCAGTCAAATACACACTAGAGATGCCCCAGCTGATGACAAAAGTGCAGTGCATGTCAAAGTGAAGCTGACTCATTTTGAAATTAAATCACAACTTTGAACTCCAAACCTCAGCCATCCAATCAAATAAAATTTAAACAATGGACCCTCACATAGTTTCCTTCACCTTAAACATTTTTTGATGTGGATCTGAAATGACAGTAAAATCCCTACCCCTGATAACACAATTTCCGCCAGGTATATATTCATTCCCAGAGGGTAAGACGGAGCCGAGCGAGAACTGTGGGAGTGCCTGGGGCCTACACCATGTTTATGTTTAATACTACTTGTCACTTGAAATCTTTTTCAATGTAGATTCAAAATAAATAAAAAGTATATAAAATAAATGAATAGTATATAATTAAGATCTAGATTCATACTTATTTTTCCTTAGTTCCAGAAACTATCCAGAAAGCACCTTTTAGAACATGAAATATTTAAGTAATAAATTACCAAGGATCCCAGGGAAGCATATGTAGAGATGTACTCATAAGAAAGCAAGGGATAAGGCTGGGGATTTAGTTCAGTGGTTTTGCTGCCTGCTGTGCAAGTGCAAGGGCCTAAGTTTGATCCCTGGTACCAAAAAAAAAAAAGAAAGAAAGAAAGAAAGTAAGGGATAGGAATATGAATATCTTTAACATTGCTTTCTTTTTTTTTTTTTTTTAACATTTTAGATTCTCAACGTAGACATTTTTGGTCCCAGATTGAAGAAAAGGTCAGCTTTTGCTGTCATAGTTCTCTGGTCTTCAATTGGATTAGGATTAAGATATTGAAGCTTTAGATATAAGAAAATTCATTTTCCCTTCTAACCAGTTCTATCAAAGTTTCCACAGATATAGTTGGAAAGATTGGACTCCAGAAATCCAAAAACTTCAACACCAAGGAGATAGTTAGAATGTAAAATTAAAAAAAAGAAATGGTAGGTAGAGAATTGGTTTTCTATCCCACCACATCAGTCAGGACCAAAGAGAAGACTTTTAATGTAATCATTTACCATCCTTGAATAGGAGAAAGTGCCAGTGACATATTTGTTGATATTATTCATATCCCAGAAACTCTATTGGCCTGGCTTTTTTCTTTTTCTTTCTTTCTTTTTTTTTTTTTTTAAAGTTTTTTTGAGACAAGTTCTCACTATTAGTTCAGGCTAGCCTTGAACTCACTACATAGCCCAGGCTGGCCTCGAACTCGTCTTGATCCTCCTGCCTCAGCCTCCCAAGTGCTGGGATTACAGGCATGCAACACCACACCCAGTTGGCCTGGCTTTAGTTACCATTTCAAAGCAAAAAATACAAGGTGGATATTATGTGGGGCAGACATTAACTGCTGCCAAAAAGGCAACATAAATATACCAGAACATATGGTTCTGACCTTCCAAAATTGAACTGAGGCATCTGTAAGATGAACAAGCAGACAGCCTCAGGAGACTTACTTTCCTAACAGGCAGAGTTCAGATTGAGTTATAGGTCTTCATTCCTGCAGCTCCTGACTTCTTGGCTGCTGTGTGACTTTGTCTAATGCCTGACCTATGTGCATCAGCTAAGGGGGCTGCCTCATTTTAACACGTTCCCAATCAATAAGCTGTGAAATTCAGTGATTCTGCTTTGGTCAACTGCCAACTTGATGGCCTTTCAGTAGCCAAAATACCAAGTAAGAGTGCATGAACTGCAACAAAAACTTCTCAATGAAGTTATCTACTGACAGAGTAAAACAGTGGGGCTCTATTTAGCAGTGGAGGTGAAAAGCAATAGAAGGAATATATCATGGTAGAACATGAATTTTGTGAATCCTAAAAATGCAAAGCATAATCCCCTCTAGTTCCTTCAGGGTACTACCTGTCCATGCAATGTGGCAGTACCCTTGCCCAGGAAGTAGTGTCCTTGAGCGCACCCACTCCCATCTCCCCTCCTCCTCCCCTCCACCTCCTCCCCTACCTCAATGGTGTACTGCTCAAAGATGCGCAACTGCAGGAAGATGTCCAGCTTGATCTTCCGCTCATGAAACAGCTCCTCCATCTGCACCTGGGCATCATCCAGCTGTTGTAGAACTGACTCGATGTGGCTGATGGAGCTACTGTGTGGTGTTTTGTTGTTGGACACAGCTGAGTCCCTGTGGCAGAGTGGGGGAAGAACGGAGGAGAGACCTTGCCATATTAGAAGGGACAGAGAAGGAGGGGTCTTTTCTCATTCAAGCAAGGTGGATGTGAATAAGGTGAGTCATTCAGTCAACAGAAATTCATCAAATTCCTACTGTGAGCCTGTCACTAACTGCTTAGTAGGGGAACCAAAAACATATGCATTCTCTTTTGGGTTTACCATACTTATTTCTAAGACTAATTGCTCTCCTATTCCCAGAAAGAACTGCAAAAGGGATCAAATGAAATAAGTTATGGTAAAGGGTTCTAAAAGCATAAAATATTAGATAATTAGAATGTTCCACACGTGTAGTCTAAGATGTGTAGTCTAATACATACACATACGTATATCACAACACACAAGGGTAGACGAATTAAAGGCATATGAAAAACAAAAACCTTCCTAGTTTTACCTCACAGAATTGTTAATATAAGATGACATATGGCTGCTGAAACTATTCATCCACTTTAAAATGCTATGCTAAAGTTGTGGGCTGGTGTTCTTAAAAAGGCTTTAAGCTGAAGCTATGAAAGCATGGGATCTGGTGTCTGCAAAGCTGGATTAGGTCCCCACTCTGACATATATGGGCCAGTGACCCTAGGATTTCACTCTCTGGGCCCCAATTCCCTTACTTGTTATGTGAATTTAATAACCCACACCCTGTTCACCTCATAGTTTGCTGTTAAATGAGATAGTGCATGTGAACAGTGACCAGGAGTGTAGTGCTTGAATAATTATTAATCACTTGTTGGAAGTGAAGTACCTAGTGTGATTGAGGTACAGGCCCCAATTTGAAAAGGTTACAAGAGGCTATGACAGCCAACAAATGTTTCAGAGAAGATGATGTTATGGTTTAGATCTAAAATGTCCTCCCAGAGTCTCATGTGTTTACAGGTAAGCTTTCAGGAAGTGATTGGATTATGAGGGCTCTAACTTCATCAGTGGATTAATTCATTGATGAGATCATAATTTGATGGCATTACTGGGAGGCAATGGAGACAAGAAGCAGGGTCTATTTGAAGGGATTAGGTCATAGGGCATGACCTGAGGGACTGTATCTGGTCCAACTCTTTCCTTTAGGATCTTTCCCTTTCTCTCTGCTTCCTGGCTGCCATGAGGTAAGAAGCTTTCCCTGCCACACCCTTCTTGCCTGATGTTTCTGCCTTGCCATAGGGCTAAAACCAATGGAGCCAGCCAACCTTGCACTAGAATCTCTGAAACCATAAGCCAAAATAAAGTTTTCCTTCTTTAACCTATCTTGTCAGGTATTTGATCACAGCTACAAAAAGGTAACATAGACAAGTTCTGATTTTTGGAGTTTAAAAAAATGGATAAATGCAGTGAGGTAGATGGGAAGACTGTGTGTTCTCTTAGCAGATATATACAAAAGTAGTAGAGAGAAGTAATGTGCTGTAAGGGGAACCAAGAGATAAAGGCACTGACCTACTGAGAAAGATGAGTTGGTGGTGGGGTCTCCAAGAGGTAATTATCATAGGAAAACTATGGAACTTAAGTTTAGAGTCTTTAGGGCTCTGAGTACCCTAGAGCCTTACAACTTGAAATGAACTGGCACTTTCATTATCGTGTGATACCTTGTTTTATAATACAATTTATGAATTCAGAAGAACAAAGGGAAAACCATTGGTTTAGAATGCTCTGAAAGCCAGGTCCTTTGGGCCTATGCTTATCTCAGAAACAATGTCACCTAAGCACACACTGTCTGGTCCCGAAGACAGAATAAGGCCAGTTTGTCAAGCACCTCTCCCTTTATAATTCAGAGAGTTCCCATTCCCACTTCCACATATGGATTGTTTTGGCATAAAATTGGCAGGGTTCCTACCCCCACAATCACACAGACATTCCCAACCATAAAAAGAGATGTACTCATACTATCCATTTTGTACTTGTCAATAGCTTTCCTGCAGAGGGGATCTGACTATTCTCTGACTGCTCCAATCCCAGTCTTTCTCTGCAACACAGCTTCCAGAAGGAAAAGAATGATTTCTACCACGTTGTACAGAACCTATGTCCATCACACTCACTAGGAATCCAGAGATGATGCAAAAACTACCTTACATGCACCAGTGAAGAGTCAGAACAGTGAAGATCTAAAGAAGATGTGTTTCTGGGGTGTGTGTATGTGTGTGTGTGTGTGTGTGTGTGTGTGTGTGTGTGTGTGCGCATCTCACCAATGTCCACTGAGTCCTGTTTGCTTCTTTTCTTTTGACTGGCTTTGATGTCAGGGAGAGAAGCTTTGGCTACAGTCAGGCCAGTGGATAAATGAATGACACTGGTGGCTCTGGGTCACTCACTAAAAGCCATGGAACTTAAACTTGTAGAATAAGCATCACTCACATCATCGCCTTCACCATCACCAAGAAGCATAAGCCCTTAGGCATTGTGCAAGCCTGGCAGTTATTAAAGTAAGATACCTGGCATCTCCACAGGCACACACCCATAGAGAGTGAAGCCAGCCAAGCTTGTGAAAAGTATTTGAAGAGAGAACATAAAGTCATCACAAAATTCTAGAGCTGACAGAGGTCCTAGAGTGAACACTTTAATTACACAGATGAAGCAGCTGAGGCCCAGAGAGGTCAAATGACTGCCCACTATTTGTAATTTTCTTTAGAAGCAAATGACAATAGAATTTTCTAGGTAAGAAGACAAAGCTAGCATGCATTATATATTCATGAAGATGAACAGGGAAAAGAAAGGAAAGAGCCTATCTTGTTAGTATGCAATAGGAGGATTCAGAATGCCTCATGTGCCTGCTTAGAATATAAATTATTAATTTCCAACAGAAAAAACATGCCAGAGCCTTCTAAAACCAATTTCTCATGGTTTATTCAACTGGACTACTGGTATGGAGGGAAAAGAAGTCCTCTCCAATTGAAGAAATTCCCTCTGGCCCAAACATTGGCCTGAGATTCATTGATGAAATTATTCCTGTCCACAGCTTGGCAGAGGTTCCAGCATTCAGTGTTTCCTGGATAGAAATGAGTCCCCAGGGGCAGGCATCATTTGCACCATCAAATCCTATTTACACACCACCTTGACATGGGGCTGGTTGCTGAAGGCTTGCCCAAGGCCTTGTGTCACTTCATCTAAGAAGCCAGTGGCACTGACAGGGGGAGGGGCAGGATGCCAACAGAAAGAGGCAATGGGGTGGGGTAATTTTAAACAAAGAGAAGTCTTTCAACAGGATTTTCCTTGAGTGTATTTGGGTTATGTTTGTTGTGGCCTAGGTATACATGTTTAGGTGAACACAGAGAAGTTTGTTGTTGTTTTTTTTTGCCCCCCTGGGCAGCAAGGGATGTAGAAAGATCCTAAGTGGGTAAAAGAGAGCTGGGTAGGAGATCATAAGTTCTCTACATCCTCAGGGAGCCAAAGCCAATCATCAGTGAATGTGACTGGAGTCACTGGAGTTCACAGTTCAGCCCAAGATCAGATGCCAAATAACACTAACATGTCTGTTTCTCCACATGGTCAAATGTGCCATGATTTTTAATGAAGTAAGATAACTTTTGTTGAGTTTTATGTTTGTATTTATGTTATTTATTGATTGCCAAATACCATCTAAAGTGATAAATGATGCTCTGAAACACAGAGCCTTCCCATTTACTGTTTTAGTCCAAATTTAAGTTGGGTGTGGTGCAGGCATTTGTATGTCTGACAGATGAAGAAACTGAAGCTCACACAAGACCACAAAACAGGCTGGGGCTGAGTGAAGACTGAGACATGACTTATCTTGTGTCTAGCCCGAGGCGCTTCCCACTGGAAACCACTGCCCATGCTGACCTGGCCTCGGTGGGCTCCCCCAGGGAGGGAGGCGCTGACCTGAGCTGCTGGATAAGGTCTTCGCCTTCTTTGATGACGTTGAGGGTGGCATCCAGGGTGGCAGTCTGCTGCTGCTGGAACTGCTTGATCAGTTCCTGGACTGCATCCACAGAGTCCGCACAGACATCCTCCAGCATCTCCTTCTGTAGGTCCTCCATCCATGTCCACAACTGTTGGGGAGATAGCAGAGTCTCCACTTAGGCCAGATGGGAGAGGGAGGACAGACCTGAGTGAGGATGAGAATGCTGGACTGGAGTCTCCTCGTCTACCCTCACCAGCCAGTGCAAGTCAGACTGTCTTCATCAGCACATCTACAGTGTCTGTGCACAATGTGGGGTGGGTTGGGTTGTTTACATATTTATATTCATCATCATCCTCACCAAGTTTACTCCATTAATGTTGGCTTTCCCGAAGGACAGGGACCACCTATTATTTTGGGAAACTTATAGTTCTCTTAGACCAAACAGATCTCCCACCTTTGAAAGACCAGGAAGAACGTGAGACTAGAATGGAAAAATATTATCTTTCAGAAGAGAGAAAAAGGAAGGCTCTGCACACTTCCAGGAAACTAGACATTGATTCCTAGAAATTTATCCTGATATTGCAAGTATGCAAAAAATAATATGTTGCTTTATGAGAACCAAATGAAGATTAAGCATACTCTGTGCTATACTAAACCATTTTGCTATTTTCAGGATTGCTAAATTACTTAGAAAGTAGGACACTAAAAACATAGCTTATCTTTTTTTTTTTCAAATACACAAAACAGTTTATTTTTCTTGGCAATGTAAAAATACATAACAATTTAAAATGAATACACATTAAGTTAGTGTTTTATCCTGACTGTACAATTGTGATTAGAAGGAACTGCTCCAGTTAAAATCTAATGAATACCATCAATTTTCCTGATCAGAATTAGTAAATAAACATCATTTTGCTACTCCTTTGAAGATGCTCACAAAAATTACAATATCACAGTTCACATAAAGCCCTTTTAAAAACTCACGTCACAGGTTGTCTATGTTAGGGGAAATAAAGATGCCACTCTTCCCAGGAAGCCCCTCTTGGTCAGGGGATTCAACACTAACAGGCTAAAACATAGCTCATCTTAACTTCAATAAAAGTACAGAGCCAGGCATCATGACCCATCTTATAATCCCAGCTACTTGAGAGGCTGAGGCAGAAGGATTGCAAATTTAAGGCCAGATTTGACAGTTTAACATGACTCTGTCTCAAAAAAATTTTTTTTAATGTTGGAGGTGTGTTGTATACATGCACCAACTCACAGTGATGAAAGTAATCAATGTATACTATAAACATGTACAAATAAATTTTTTTTAAAGAATTGAGGATATACAGTGGTATCTCAGTCCATGAACTCAATTCATTCCATGACTCTGGTCACAGAATTTGGTCCATGATTCTGGTTGCAACTAAAATGTAAGTATAGTATATCTAAGGTACCACTGTATATCCCAAATCTTTAAAAAAAAGTTTTATTAATACATGTTTGTAGTACGCAGTAATTACACTCATCACAGTGAGTTGGTATGTGTATACAACACATCTTCCAACCCCTTTTTAATTTTTTTTTTTTTTTAAAAAGCTTTCTTTTTTGAGACAGAATCTTGTTGTCAAGTCTGGCTGCTGACTTGCAAACTTGAATAGTATATGCTTGCAATTCAGTTGCAACCAGAATTGTGGAAAGAATGAAGTTTGTGAACCAAGGTACCACTATAGCTCAGTGGTAGAATACCTCTGGGTTTGATCCCCGATCCACGCAAAAAGTGTAAGATATTTTCATATGATACTCATGATGCTGAAATGCACCCAGAATACTATGACCAATTATGAGACTTTAAAAGCTAAACATACTGTTTTGAACAGAATGGATACTGGAAATGAAGGAGGGGTTGAAATGAATTACTGAAAACTTGTTTGCTGATAGGTCTTCCACATAATGAAAATAGGTCTCAAGTAGCCTGCAACAGGCTCCACTTCTGACTACTACTACTGAGTATTTTCATAAATGATGGAAGGGAAGATGAGTGTGATGTTTATTTTGAAAACTGTGGTTTTCACATGGCTGGCAGGAAAGATAAACCCAGGGTTATTCCAAGGGAATAAAAACAATAGAGATAGAAGCTTGATAAACAAGTCACAAGGTGTGAAAAACTGCAGGAATGACTTTGACACCAAGACATCCAAAGTCGAGTATAGTACTAGTTTGTGAATAATTGTGACACCAATATTAAAAGTAATATTTAAAACCTGGAAAGCTTGAGCAGAGGGTTACTTGAAATTCCACGGGACCATGTGCACACTGTCACCACCTCATGGCAATAAATGTAAATTACAAGCTTATGATTTTGAATAAGCACCTCTGAGGCTTCATACTGTGCAGGAAGTAGGTGTTTTGCATCCTAAGTCTGCAACTGATTGCTACCTCACAGGGATGGGGCAATACTCCATTCCTTAAGCTGTAGCTTTTCTACCATTTGAATGTCCTATAGATCTTCTCTGCAGGTGCCCATCTATTTAATCCTGACAAGCATATTTATATTGCTTTAAAGAGTCCGATTAGAGAGAAAACATTATTACTAATTTACAAAATATTAAGCAGCCAATGAGACCTAGTCAGAATGAGCTCTCTCCTCAAGCTCAGCAAGCCACTGATTGCCAGAACTAATTAGGTAAAATCATGGCAGCAACAACTTATGTGCTTTTTCCTTACAGTCCTCCATTTTGGTTTCTCCTCCATCAAAGACTCCTCTTTCCCTCCACTTCTCTACAGCCTAACAGGTCAGAACTACAGGTTCTTCACCCATCTGTTGTACCCCAGAAAGGATCCCATGTTTAGACACTTCCAGATCTTCTCTTCTGGGTCACAATGGACTTGAACTCAGGCCCAATCTTTCAGGGTCCAGCTCCCTACTTGGCGATGCCTACTTGGTCAATGCTTGGCGTATTCTTTCTCTCAGAATACATATGGCTATGCCACAAAACATTTACATACTAAAGAACTGGCCTAATTTAAGAATTTCTAGAAACTTAGCAGGGTAGAGTGCCCTACCTAAGGTTAGCTCTAGTAGTGAAAAGTATCCAGAGGTTAGGAAGGGCCAGCCCACAGCCCCTGTCCTGCCTGCATAGCAGAGAGCCTGAGGAAAGGGCAGCTGAAGAAAAGCAAGAGGAAGGAGATAGACAAGGAAGGAGGACAGCAGTTTTGCAGAAATAATGAGGTTTATTCATTATTTTACTTCATCATTCTCTCCTGCCAATTGGCTGTTCTATTTACACATGGTGGCTTCCCTTGGGCTGGTGCAACTGACTGACCCTTAAGGATACCGAAAGCAGTACTATTTCTACAGGGTAAACTACTTCTTTCATTTTTTTTTTTTTTTTTAGTACCAGGGATCAAACTCAGGACCTTGTGCTTTTGAGGCAGGTGTGGTACAATTGAGCTAAATCCCTGGCTCTCCTTCTCTCATTTTGAAGTGATAGTCAATGCCAAAGAAAAATGATTACTTCTCTCATTTTTCTTTGGCATTGACTATCACTTTTATTCCTTAATTATCATGACAGTCTGGCAACTAATATAGATGGAGGAGCAGTTTTGTCCTTGAGGCTGTCATTTCTTTTGAAAACTTTGTTAGTTTTGGTTCTGGAGTAGATGGGTGGGGAAATATGTGCATATGTGTTTGTGGTATGGTGTGTGTGTGTGTGTGTGTGTGTGTGTGTGTGTGTGTGTGCAGAAATGGTATGGAAGAATGATTCCAAAGTAAGAAACAAACAGAAGTGGGCATTTAATTGTCTAATTAAGAGCTGATGATGGTTACTTTGGCTACACTTCTTCATTTGACTCTCATATCCTTATTATAAAACTATCTAAAAACTGATACTTTGAAAGCCCAGGGACTATTTCCATGGAAACATAGCAAGGAAAGAGAATTTTGTCTGGACAATCTGTGCAAGCAGATGACACATGCTACAAATGCCTTGTCCCTGGATAAAGAAAGTGAGGACTGTATCTACTCTTCTCCCTGACACCTTCTCTAGCACCCAGACCAAAAAAAATCCAGCTGCCCTTTTGGTAACTGGCAAAAAGAAAATATTTCAAAGCTTATCACAATCTGTGCTAATAGCTGATGGACACATAGAGGGATCTGAGTATATGTTTGTCACTTCTCTTTTATGAAGTAGTTCTCTTTAACTAGGGTTAAGAAGTTTTGTTTTGGAGTGGCTGGAGGTATAGTGCAGTAGTAGAGCACTTGCCTAACATGAGCAAGGCTCCAGGTTCTACCCCTAGCACCCCGAAAAAAGTTTTGATTTTGAAAGATAACATTAAGGATTATTCCTGATTATAAATTAAAAATATCACAGAAGAAAATTTGTAAAATAGAAAAATATTTTAATATGATCCATAGTATTCTTAACTTACTGCTACACTTAATTCTAGTGCTTTTTCTGTCAGTGATCATAATTGCTGATTATGTGGTTTTATGTATATCACAGTCATTCTTCATGTCATTAATGATCGTTGGCCAGTGACTTCAAATTATTATAATATTTCATTACCTAGATGCATTATGATTTGCTTAACAAATCACTCAATGTGGAACATCTAGATTGTTTCTAATTATTCAAGATTATACATAACACTGTGATGAAATGATTGTATGGTTTTAATTCTCCCTACCTGCAAGGTTGCAAAGAATTCACAAAGCAGGGCCAATTGATTAGGCAGGCTCTTTAATCTGCAGAAGAAATGAGCCTGGGGGTTATCTTTTTTTCATATCTTCCTTCTGTTTCTTCTTTGATCCTGATTAGATTAAATCTTCTGATGTGGAAAGTGGGCAAAAGTAAAATTATAAACTTCAGCCTGAGGAGTCATAGGAAGTCTACATTAAATCATTTATGAAGATATTCAGTTCACACTCAGAAATCTCCATGAAGGGGGCTGTTATCCCATGAAAATTATATCCTATGATGATATTCTATTATAAATCAGCACTAAGACAAAAACTCAGCAAGTTATTATAGGAAGGAAAAAAAAGGTAAATGAAGTAAAGAAGAAAGGACCTCATCAAAACTAGGCAGGAGGACTCCTTAACAATATTTATCAGCAAAACTCAAGGCCACTTTACCAAAATGGAGCAGAAGTTTTTCCTCCCCTTTACAGTATTCACTGTGAAAGGAAAAATGATCATGGCATCTCAGAATTCAGTAGATTTGACTGCTAATACCTTTTAAAATAAAAAGCCAGCAGTCTTCATATAAAATCAAGGGAAAGGAACCAACATTAGTGGCCCCATCATTGAACAGGATCCATACTTAGCAAAGTTTGAAAAGTAGCAAGTCTTGAAAGGTGTTAAACAGAATATGAAAAAACCAACCCCAGGAGTTTTTCACTAGTGCACTGAAGGATGTCCACTTCTGCCACCTAATAATTCACTTCTGTCTGCTAAGCAAGTCCTAGGGAAAGTTTCTATTGGTGATTCATATTCCCCACATACCCCCTTTATTTTCATTGTCCACAGAGTCGAAGCCAAAGAACTGGAATGGATGAAAGATGTGGTACAATGGGCCTTTGCCTCTCCTTCCTCCCCCTCCTCTTTTCTTTTTCTTAGAAGGGATTACTAGCTTCCCATTGCACCAGCAACACTTTGCATTTCTCAACCAAGATATACCTCCGCAGGCAGTCATTGTAAAGAGAAAAAAGAAAATGAAGGGGAGGAGGCCCAGAGGAAACAAGAACAGAGTAAGGGTAGCAGTTAAGAGTACAAGTGTGTACAGGTCAAGTGTCCCTAATGTAAAAATCTGAAACCGAAAATGCCCTAAAAATCTGAAAAACCTCTGAAATATCATGTTACATTTTGTATTTTTACATTAGGGATGTTCAATCCGTATTTAGGAAGATGGGTGAAATCTCAGCTGATAAACTCTATAATCTTAGATAAGTTGTTTCCTGAATATTCCTCATTTGAAAATACAATTAATAAAATCTATATCCATAAGATTATCATGAAAATTACAGAAACAGACCTGAGGACCAGTGGAACAGATTAGAAGATGCAGAAACAACGCCAGACACACTCAGCAACCTCATCTTCGACAAAGGAGCCAAACATCCTCACTGGAGGAAAGATAGCCTTTTTAATAAATGGTGCTGGAAAAATTGGGTTTCAACCTGCCAAAGATTAAAACTAGGCCTATATCTCACCATGCACTAAACTAAAATCAAAATAGATTAAAGATCTATATATTAAAACAGAAACGCTGAACCGGCTGAAACAGAGGTTAGGTAGAACTCTTGAAGACATTGGTGTAGGAAAAGATTTTATGAACAAAACCTCAGTTGCCCATGAACTAGCACAAACAATTAACAAGTGGGATCTCTTCTTACTAAAAAGCTTCTGCACAGCAAGAGAAACTACCCAAAAGTGTGAAGAGACAACCCACAAAACAAAACAAAACAAAAAATTTTCATCTGCTGTTCCTCAGACAAAGGTCTACTGTCTAGAATCTATAAAGAACTTAAAAAAATCAGACCTCCCAAATTTAAAGACCCAATCTGAAAATGGGCATCTGAAATGAACAGACATTTCTCAGACAAAGAAGTAGAAATAGCAAATAAATACATGAAAAAATGTTCAACATCACTGGTCATTTGAGAGATGCAAATGAAAACAACGCTGAGATTCCACCTCACCCCAGAAAGAATGGTTGCCATCATGAAATCAACCAATAACAAATGCTGTTGGGGATGTGGGGAAAGAGGAACCCTTCTCCACTGCTGGTGGGAGTGTAGACTGGTGCAAGCACTGTGGAAATCAGTATGGAGATACCTCAAAGAACTAGGAATGGAAGTCCCATTTGACCCAGCTATTCCCCTGCTGGGTATCTTCCCCAAAGAATTAAAAGAATCATACACAGTGATACATGTGCACCCATGTTCATAGGAGCACAATTTGCAATACCTAAAACTTGGAAGCAGCCCAAATGCCCATCAACTGGATACTGGATAAAGAAAATGTGTTCTTTTTTATAAAATGGAGTACTACTCAGCCATAAAAAATGAGAAATTAGAGACATTTATAGCTAAATGGATGCACATTGAGGCAATACTCTTAAGTGAAATAAATAGGACACACATGTGTAAATACCAAATAGTTTCTCTGGTGTGAGAAACTGAAAGTGTAAATAAGGAGTAAAAGGTATAATAGATAATGTGAAATAGGAAGAAAAGGGGCAAACAAGAAGGGGAAGTGGGAGGGCTCAGGGAAAGGAAAGAAGGGAATGGAATTAATATGAGAAAATGAAAAAAATGGAAACAAAGTCTTTGTAAATAGGGAGGGATGGAGGGTTTGAAAGGAGGGCAGGGGAATGGGGAAAAAATAAGAACCAAGAGAGATTATGTAAAGGTGCAAATTTCCAATGATGAATGTCATTATACTGTATACCTAAAATGTACCAATAAAATTAATTTTTTAAAAATTACAGAGATGATATATGTTAAGTTTCTGACAAATAACAGGCACTCAATTTTTTAAATACAGTGGACCCTTGACTTATGAACTCAATTCGTTCCTGTGGGCTGGTTGTAACTCAAGTTGGTGAACACAGCCTTCAAAATCTCTCCCGTACACAGGCAGATTTCAGTGTCCTTAGATTGGCCCAAGATTTCTCAATTAACCCCACACAGGAAAGGATGTTGTAATGTTCCTTCCAGAACTCTTTAAGGGTTAAATCTGTATCTGAGATCACCTGGAAGCACAAGTGGCTGGCATTTGGGTCGTAACTCAAGACCTTGGTCATAAGTTAAAGCTAAAATTCCAGTCATAACCAAAGTTGTTCATATGTCAGGCTGGTTGTGACTTGAGGGTCCACTGTAGTCACCTAATATATACAGAGTATTTACAATGAACCAAATCTTAGCATAAATAAATCACTTATACTACTTTAGGTTTTAGTATTATTATTATTACTGTTATTAATATCAAAGAAAAGGAGACAAAAAAAGAAGCAGATTTAGGGCTTACAGTAGAATGAATGACCAGGGACCTTAGGGTCATCAAGACCAGCTACACTGTTTTATCCCGGAGGAACCCAGGGCTGGGACATAGTGATTCACATATGCTCATACAGTTTTTTGGCACTATTTGGACTAGAATCCCAGCATCCCAGCTATATGTATAGAAGGTTGGGTACGTAGCTAGAGAGGCTTCCTGGAAGCTGGAGGCATCCTTTTGGGAGTGGTACTTTCAGACACAGACCTTGAATCACCACCTCCCCATAGAGCCAGCATCCCCAGCCCTCATGAGGAGCATAACTCCTGTTCATTCATGCTCCATTATCTCACCCACAGGCTCACAATTTAAAGGGGATACATATCCCTTCGGTTTCTGAACCATCATTAAGAATGGAGTGAGCCACAAGCAAGCAGACAACCAGGCAGGAAGCCCTGGATTAAAGTTAATCCCCTTGCCTTACAGACACTCATCAGAGAGTGGCTGCAGGTCCCATGGAGAGGAAACACAGCCAGCTTCCAGGAGCTCACCAGGCCTTCATCTGCCTGGGGAATCTCAGTTTAGAAAAGATTATCTTTTCATGTTTTTCTCTGATACGCACTGCAATGATTCGTATCCATTCTCACAACGTGTCAGAAAAGCCTGTAAAGTAGTAACAGCCAGGCTTCTTAATGCATTCCCAATATCAAAAATCAACTTAATTAAGTAGGGTTAATTTTTTCCAAGGCAGCAATCAAACTTTAATTAATACTCTATTAAATGAATTCCTGGGGGAACACAAGCAAGCATACATAAACTGAATTCATCTGCCAAGGGTGTTATTGAGGAAGATGCTAAGTGGGCCTCCTTCCTGGACACTTACTCAATTTCAGAGTGCCCCCTGTTAATCATAACTGAAAAGCAATCACAGGTTTACCCCCCTCCTCCTTTCCAGAGGGTCCTTCTGCCCTGCCAACCACTTAATGTAATCCAACCTCCCCTGCCCTGTTTCTACTCGGTGAATGATTCTGTCTGGGCTTTAAGTTGGCTTCTTCCTACATGGAGGGCACCTCAGTCTCCCTTCACTGCCTGTCACCCTATATCCAAGCAAGGCGAGCACTAAGTTTAATCCCCCTGCCTCAGACCTCATGAAGAAGGCTGACACACAATTATGAACTCTGTATGCTCCTTGATGGTAGCAAAGATCCCTGACCAAAGTTCTGTGGAATTGATTTCTAACCAGCAGGACAAACAGGAGAAATGGGGAGTGGTGTGTGCTCCTCTTATACTTCCTCTTGCCGCAATTATCTCTATACCAGGGAGTCCCACATTTCTCTTGCTGCACACTAAATGCTCCAACAGACCCCAGACACCACCTGCTTCCAAAGTCTCCTACCTCTCTAGAGATGAGGAGATGAAATTTTGCCCCATTCATAGAGTCCTAAACGCAAGTTATCAGGAGCAAATTGTTAATATCACCAATATCTCGGAAGACTAAGTCCCAGACTCCCCCAACCCTGGTCAGACATTGAATCACTTCACTAGGAAGCTACCCTCTCTCCTCTTACCTCTTTGGTGTGTGTGTGGAAGGAGACAGACATGTCTAGGAGAAGCTTCCGCTGCTCTACCCTGCGCACGAAGTCCTGGATGCGCACCTCCAGGTGTCGAGCTGCTTTGTAGATCTCCTCTGGGTCACATTCGCCGGTCTGAGCCAACTGCTCCGCTGCTTCTAGGAGTTTGTCGGCATTGGTGTACGTATTCTGCCAGTAACAACAGTGAGGCAAAGTCAACTTGTAGTCAGGAAGGGAGCTTCACGCCTTCCTGCAGCCCACCCTGGGACTCCCCGTGCAAGCTGGAGTGGAGGGGCGGAGGGGCGGAGGCACTGAGCTGTCAGCTTCCTGATCTGGCTCGCTGCCTCCCAGCAGGCGAGCAGCCGGGCTGCTCTTACACATGGGCACTAGCTAGGAGCTTTGCCCGCCTCTGGCGTTTCTCAGAGGTACAGTGCCCCTGGAAGGAGGCAGTAAGACCCATGAGAACCTCCGTGCCCCTTCGGCTGGCTCCTTATTCACCACCCTTGGGAAGCCCTATCTTGCCCTCACATCTCAGGCTTGTAACTGCCGGAGTTGGAAATAGCGCACCCACGACAGAGTGTGTTTCTAAGCGAGAACACTACGGAAACACTAACTTGCTTGCTCTGCCTTTCCCCCAGGGTCCTGCAACTGCAGGTGTTTATCTTCTTTGGAACAGAGCTATCTCTTTGGAAGGGAAGGGGTAGCAACTCTATGCAGATGACAGGAGGAAGCAGCCTCAGCTAGGGAGAGTAGATGCAGGTTATTCCCCGTGCCTGGTGAAGGCAGCATGTGAGCAGAAAGCTGGGGGCTGAGGAAAGTCTGATAGTTTTGCTTATGATGCTGTGGCATCACATGGACACACACACGTGTACACACACACACACACACACACACACACACACACACATGCTTCCCCAATCCCTATCTGTATACACTGTGGTATTCTCCAAGGCATTTTAAAAGAAAACCAGCTTGGATTATTCTTTAGGATATAAGGCAGGATACTAGTTATTATATAATATCCATGAACAGAACTCTTCCTTAGCAGGCTTATTTAAAAAAAAAAAAAATCTCCTGACACATCCTGAAGTGGAACTGGTGACCCGAATGCACATATATTATTTCTCAGTGTCCCTCCAGTCAGCACACTGGTCTGCACGCTGTGAAATGGGTGCTCACTTCTGACTGTGAGAACCTGGAAGCAGAAGCTGTTTGTATCAAACACAGAGTGAGGGGGAACCCGTCTGGGTTTATGAACAATGGCTGTGAAGCTTTGCTTTACCTGTAGAGACATGGCTTCCACATCTTCATGGAATATTTTGAAATCAGTTGAAAATCTGGATGTTATGGGATGAATTGTGTACACCCCCATTCATGTTAAACTCTTAACTCACAATATCTCAGAATGTGGCCTTCCTGGGAAAGATGATCATTTCAGATGCAGTTAGTTACATTGAAATCTAGTCATCTGGGAGAAAGTGGGCCCCTCATCTGGTGCGCCCAGTGTCCTTATTAAAGAACACTATGAAGAGAAAGGAGACCACTACTCAAAGATGAAGGCAGAGACTGGAAATGTGTCTCAGAAAGGCAAAGGCTGCCAGCAATGTGCCAGAAGCTAAGAGGAGTGTGGTGATTTCTCCCTCATACTCCTTAGAAAGAAGCAACACCTGTCTACACCTTGGTCTTGGACTTCTTTCCTCCACAACTGTGGGAAAGTAAATTCCTGTTGTTTACATCACATAGGCTGTAGGGCTTTGTCACGCAGCCCTAGGAAACTAACACATGGGGTTGACCTTTTCAGAGGCTGCTGGCCCAGCCTCTGGGGTGTAGGGACACAGAGCATGAAGCGGGGCAGGCCATCAGCAAATGCTTGTCTAGGCTTTTAGGAATTCCCAGGGAGGCCCACAGGATCCTGAAATAATGTTACCTGAAAAGCAACTGCCCAAGGTAAATACTGGCCCGATTCTGGTGAGATGGAGCTGAAAAGGAGGAGAAATCATTTGGCTCTAACTGGGAAATTCATGGAAAAAATGGAGCAGCCTCATATAGGGAAAGAGATTTTTTTTTAGCTAGTTAAAAAATGTCAAGTCCAGAAAAGAACTAAAAGAATCCATTTAGAGTCATGAGGAAAACATAGGAAGAATGACAGGCAAGGGGAGACTTCTGGGCCTGTGGAACAGGTTTAAAAAGACCATTTTGGGGTTGGTTACAATCTCTAGTAAATTGACACATATTCCTGAAATCATTTTTTAGGAATCCCTCAAATAATTTAAGTCCTAGGAAATCTCAGGAATCTCCAAAGAAACCTAAAGTTACAACTTTATATTTTCTAGACAATATGTATAAATTTGCCACAAAGCTCAGAAAATAAGATGGTTTGTGAGTTCAGCTTAAAACCAGTAAAGGATAAATAAAAAGTAAAACTGTAGTGCCTATTGCATTTAAGGTGACCAATTCATTCCATTTTGTCCAGAACATTCTTTGGTTTACCATATAAAGCCCTCTGTCCCAGAAATCCCCTTAGTCTTGGGAAAAATGGGGTGGCTGACCACCCTAACATAAACCTTATACTGTATGAAGCTCAGGAGTAGAAATGCATATAAAATACATTCTGTCTCAAGAAGCAGAAATCAGTCTTGACAGAAATAACATGATAGTACTTAAAATGGGACAAGCAATATAATAACATATTTAGCAGTTAAATTTTCTTGGTACAATATTATGTTCAAAAGAGAATGTGTAAAAACTAGGAATAATAGTAGCTAATATTTACTGAGTTTTTCACATGCCAAGAAATATCCTAAAGAGTTTTATACATCTTATCACCTTTAATCTTCACAATAACCCTATGAAATTGATGCAGCCATCAGACTCATTTTATAGGAGAAGAAACTGAGGCACAAAGAATTTCTAGTCAAGGTCATATGACTAAAATGAGAGAATCAGAATTAAAACTTTGTTGTCTGGCTACAGAGCCAAGCTCAAACCATTAACTACCCTACCTCCATCCAGAGCACAGGCAGAGGCCTGAGGGTAGGAAGGACTTAGCAGAGAAGAGGTAGGTGGCTCATAGACAGAACTCTCATTGTGCCTAAGGTATTCTATGTTTATCCCATACCACAGCTATTACCATAAATATTTAGTTGATGAATTAATAAATGATACATCAATCCCAATATTCAACACTTGGTCCTCATCAATTACTTGGTATAAGACTTTACATGTAGAATGCATATGTAACATGTAATTGTGTATTCCTGTTTTGTTTCCCCTATGTCCTGGCATAACCTAAAAGTAAGAAAGGGTTTAGAGAATATTAATATTACCAAAGGAATATACTGATCCCTGTCAGAGCTCCCAAACTGAGACAAGGATCATAACAGATTTATGCTCACTTTCTGACTAAATAAACAATAGCTACTGCCTGAGTGCTAGAATTGACCTCATTCTGAGTATAGTTCCTAGGCATTCACTGGTTTCCTAGCTTTATGGCCTCTGCCTTGGACTTGACACCTTATGATATTTCTCAACTCATACTCCAAAAACAGGTTTTGAGAACTGATCCCTCAGCCATTGAGGCTTTCAGACAGGACTTCTGGTTTCCAGGGCCCTTGAGTCAGAGATTTGGACCAAAGAGATAGCTGTCCTTTCTGTTATTCCCTTTCCAACCTTTCTATTCCTATACTGACCAGGTGATTTCACTAAATAATTTAGCTCTGAAGTCTAACTTCAATTCCCTACTACAGTCTTGGCCCATTACTTTTTTGTTTTCTCCCCAGGGAAGAAATAAAACATTGTAGGATAATTTATCTTAAATATAAGAATCCCACCTGCAGAGGGCAGGGTTTTTAAAGGCAAGGTGTGGGATAGACAGTGAATAAAAGCACCTCTGGAGACAAAAGTCAGCTTCTTCAGTAACATAGAGTAATCCTTGTCGCTCCATGGCCTGGGGAGGAGAGGGGATAAGGCTTAAAAGTCACCCTTCTTATTCAAAACAGGCAGTGCAGATTGGAGAGCAGGCTGCTGGAGGACCAGGAGAGACCTCCCTCATGATGTGTATTTTTGAAGGCCAGCCTGGTTGGAACCAACAGATAGGGCGGGAAAAGGCACACGAGAAGCACATGCATTGCAGGGAATAAGTAACATGGAAGACACATGGGAAGGCAGATGAGTAGGCCCAGGCACCAGGAGAGAGCAGACTTGTCTCTGGATCTAGATGTAAAGGAAATGCAGCAGTCAAGAGAATGTCCAAAACATTTGAAAAGTAGTTTATTTTTATTGTTGACAAATAAAATCTCTTTCACATCTCTTTCTTATCCTCTCTGGGACAGATCTGCAGAAGGCTCATCTGTGAGAAAACTGAGGCTGAAGAAGTCATGTGAAAGAATTAGAGATAAAAGTACACAAGGGTAGGAATAGTACCTGTTCTCACCAGTCCGCTTGAAAAACTCATGACTCATGTGATAGTGGCTAGAGTAATCAGAAGCTATTGTAAGTAATATCTCTAGGACAGTGGTGAGGAACGTATGGCATGTGTGCTGCAGCAGCTGTTATTTTTTAAAATCACTGAAAGCGTTAAAGGGCTCCCCACCATTGTCCAAGGCTGAGCACTGTTCTGGCCTTGCCTAACAAATTTTAAGAAAAGACCTGAAAGAATCAAACTTTCCCCAAGCAATCTAACTGTTTCCCAAAAAGCTTAAGAATATTTATAAAAATGCAGACATTTATAGCAACTAAAATTTTATACAAGTGAAATTCACAATGTTTTATATCTAATAAAAATTATCAAATATCCAAAGAACCCAGAAAATATAACTATGGGAAGAGTCAATCAACTAAAACTGAACCAGAACTGACATACATGATAAAAATAGCAGACAAGCCCGCTGCAGACAGGCAGCCACCTGGTTCCACACTACAAAAACACAGAGGACACCAGACCACCAGACCAAGGTACTGAGTTCCACTGTTCCTGGCCCAGAGGTAGGGGCTTCTGAGCCATTGTCCCATGGCTCCTGGCCCAGAGGATGGGGCTTCCAGGCCACCATCCCTCCCACTGCTCCCAGCCCACAGGAAAGGGCTTTTGGGTCACCATCCCTACCGCTGCTCCTGGCCCCTGTCCCACCTCACCCAGCTCA